CTGGATACGTACTGATGCAATCTGGCCATTACAACATAGAACATATGTGGCCAGCACTGCTGTTTTCTATTTATATAACCCCCAATCTTACAACGGATGTAAGGTTTAGGAAGTAGGAACACACAGCGTAGGTAAGATAAACACTTCTTTACATATTCATAAGCCTCTCTTACTCATCAGAACTGTTTTATTGTGTTTTCTATGTTCCCTTCCTCTGATGTGCACTATGTAGTATGTGACGACTGCGCACTCCCTGTAGAGTAGGCATGTCAAACCCGTGTTTTCTGGGCTGCCTGCGGCCCCATTACTATTTCATTGTGGCCCCTGGCCAGTTGTAGAATATTTGTGATTGAATGAGGTCCTACAATGTTGTTTAGCAGCACCAGACTCCTGATAATGTTCCTCCACCTTTATCATTGCTATGCATTATATTATTATATAATCATTCTGTTGATCTTTAGTATGTCAAGGCTCTCTGTAGAGGTGTCAGCTGCTTTATTTCTGCTGGTTTTCTGCATGCTAGGACTTGTTCTCACGGACGTACTATATTGTACACCCTGGGGATGCACAGATGTCCCATACATCCCCATGCAGGCAGTCCCATTCATGCCAATTGAGATGCAGCGGCTGCATGGATACAGCTCCCAATTTAACAGCCGCTAAGCTGTGCAGTTTGCGTTTGGAGATGTGCACCGACACCAACATGGCTGTCAAATTGGAAGCAGCGGCTGTGCATCCCCATGCAGGCAAACACGGCCCTTGCATGTGCGTACGCTATAGTATACCTGTGTCAGGCTAGGTTCACACCTATGCAGCTTGCATTTGATCTGTTTCTGCAGTGCGTTTTGCATTTTGCACACGCGTTTTTGCCACGTTTTTGTTGCGTTTTGCTTTTTTTGTTTGCTTGTTTTATTTTTCTTGTTGCTAGGCAGATTTAATATGCAAAACGCATCAAAACGCACTACACGCTTTTCTGCAGCATTTCCATTGAAGTCTAAATAACGCAAAAGTCCCTGACCCTTTCCAAAAAACGCACTGGGTGAAAACGTGGAGATGTAAACGTGTCCCATAGGGAATCATGTTAAATGGACTGTAGTACGTTTATGCAAAATGCTGCGGAAAATGCTTAGGTGTGAACCTAGAGTAAATGAGGCCTCTTGCACATGGGTGCCAAAAATGCCACATTTTTTGGCGTTCTGAATTCAGCCCATTGCTTTCATTGGACCTGTACACACAGACACATAAATATCATAAAGTAGGAAAGTGTAGTAAATGATCACATCACTAGAACGGAGGTGAATATTTCATAGACTTTAGGCATTCCAAAATGCTGTATAATTTGCTTCCACTAACCCAACGTATAAAATTCAAAAATGCTAACCACAGCATACAAAGCCATCCACAACACTGCCCCTAGCTACATCACCAACCTCATCCACAGATATCAGCCAAATCGCCTGCTCTGATCCTCCCACAACCTGCTCTCTAGCTCCCTCCTCACCTCCTCCCACACTCACCTCCAGAACTTCTCCAGAGCCTCTCCCATCCTCTGGAACTCCCAACCGCAGTATGTCTGGTCAGCGCCCACCCTGTCAGCCTTTAGGCGATCTTTGAAAACTCACTTATTCAGGGAAGCCTACCCCACCTCCACCTAAGAACTGTACTTGAACCACCTCCATCAGAACATCGCCTACAGCTATCACCTTTTGTACCACCTGCCCCTTCCTTTAGATTGTAAGCTCCACGAGCAGGGCCCTCCTATTCCTTCTGTACTGAAATGTATTGTAATTGTACTGTCTCCCTTATATTGTAAAGCGCTGCGCAAACTGTTGGCGCTATATAAATCCTGTATAATAAATAATACTTTACTGAAATACCTCAATGAGAAAATATACCACATTTTGGCCACTAGATGGAGCTGATGAATTAACCATTTCAGTTCCAGGCACCTTTATCTACTTCCTGCCCAGGTCAATTTTAAGCTTTCAGCACTGTCGTTCTTTGAATAACAATTGCGCGGTCATGCAACACTGTACCCATAATACATTTTTATTAATTTTTTCACACAAATAGAGTTTTCTTTTGGTGGTATCTAATCACCTCTGGGTTTTTTATTTTTTGCTAAATAAACTAAAGCAAATAAATAACCTTTCATCATAAATTTCGGCCACGATGTATTCTGTTACATTTCTTTGGTGAAAATAACCCAAAGTTTAGTCTGTAGGAAAGTCATAGAGTTCGCAAACTATGGGATATATCTGAAAATTGACCAGTTCTGATGTACTGATGGCCTATCTCATTTCTTGAGGCCCAAAAACGCCAGGACAGCACAAATACCCCCCAAATGACCCCTTTTTTGGAAAGTAGACAGTCCAAAGGTTTTAGTAAGAGTCATTTTTTACATTCTGTCACCAGTGCAGTACAGCATCATCATATAACTGGTGTGGACGGTGATCAGAGACACTGACTGGTGGTTAAAAAAAAAAGTTTTTTTCTTTTTCGATTTTGTGATATTTTTTCTTTCTATTCTTTTTATTTATTAGGATTTATTTTTTAAGACACTGTGACCAGAGCAATATAATATTACCATAGTGAAGTCAATATTACCATAATGAAGTGATCAGGAGTTATTTTTTTATGATTGCTTAACCACCTCCTGCCTGCCATATAGTCCAATGACGGGCGCAAGGAGGTTCTCTCGTTCTGGGAGGACGTCATATGACGTCCTCCCATTCTCACTGTGCGTGCGCAGCTCAGAGAGCGTGCAGCGCGGCGATCGACGGTGCGCTGTGTCCCTCGGACACAGCGGATCACCGACCACGAAAAGAGAGCCGAAGATGTCGGCTTCGTTCATGTGATCAGCTGTGTCCAATCACAGCTGATCACATGTAAACAGGGAAATGCCGGTTATCGGTATTTCTCTCCTCACGAGCTGTCACACTGACAGAGGAGAGGAGAGACGGTAATCGGCATTCCGCGGAGGAGACATCTACACTGTTCATCAAAGCACTGATGATCAGTGTAGCCCCAGCAGTGCCACCAGTCAGTGTCCGTCAGTGCCAGCTGTCAGTGCTCATCAGTGCCACATCAATGCCACATATCAGTGCCTACCAGTGCACATCAATGCCACATATCAGTGCCCATCTGAGCTGCCTTTCAGTGTCACCCATCAGTGCCAGTCAGTGCACATATCAATGCCGATCAGTGCCACCTATCATGCCAATCAGTGCCACCTATCAGTGCCAGTCAGTGCTGCCTATCAGTGCCAGTCAGTGCCGCCTATCAGTGCGCATCAGTGCCACCTATCAGTGCCAGTCAGTGCTGGCTATCAGTGCCAGTCAGTGCCGCCTATCAGTGCCATATATCAGTGCTGCCTTTCAGTGCCCATCAGTGATGCCTGTTAATGCCCATCAGTGCCACCTACCAGTGCTTCCTCATCAGTGCCCATCAGTGCCACATATCAGTGTCCATCAGTGCAGCCTATCAGTGCCCATCAGTGCAGCCTCATTAGCGCACATCAGTGAAGGAGAAAAATCACTTATTTACAGAATTTTATAACAAAAACTAAGAAAAAACGTTTTTTTTTAAAAAAAAATTTCAGTGGTTTTTGGTTTAAGAAAAAATAAAAATCCCAGAGGTGATTAGATACCACCAAAATAAAGCTCTATCTGTCTCCAAAAAAATTATAAAAATTTCATATGGGTACAGTGTTGCATGACCGCGCAATTGTCATTCAAAATGTGACAGCACTGAAAGCTGGAAATTGGCCTGGGAAGGAAGGGGGTATAAGTGCCCTGTAGGCAAGTGGTTAAACCGGTAAATTTCACTGTTCTAAGCGACCATTTTTACTGAATTAAATATTAAATTGACTCCTTCAGTATGTATTGTTGTGATTAGCTGTGATTGGCCACAGCTAATGACATAGTACAGGTGGGCTGTGATTGGCCCTTTCTGTACCATGTGATCACTATGACCAATCTCAGATAGCAGCACAATGGTACACGATGAATGGCATAAATCAAAGATTGTCATGTGATCTGCTGTGATTGGTCACAGCAATCACATGGTACTGAGAGTGACCCGGTACAGTGATCTGTCATTGGCTGTGTCTGGTGGACACAGCCAGTGACCGATCGTGCTGCAGCGTGGCCCATGAGGCATGTTTCTTGGAGGACACTGTATGATGTCCACCCAGACAGATGAAAGTCCTGTTCTGGCCGTCATCTGACAATAGGCTGGGCGGGGAAGTGGTTAATCTATTACCGAAATTACGGCCAAAATTTGTAGAACCTGCACGAATGTGTGTGTCATTTGTTCAGAAAATGTTGTATACATAGACCACTCATAGTATGTCTGTTCTGCAATAAAAAAAAAATCATTTTTTTACTTTAATTCTACTTTATTGGTTTGTAAAACATCTCTAAGATGTGCCATTCAATGAATACATTGCTGAAGAACAGAGAGGAAAAGTTAAGGCGGAATTTAACTCTGCTATAGTTTTTATTTTTGAAGGGCCCCCCAGGAGGTTTATGCCATGATGTGCTTATATGCACCACATGTTAGCACACTATGGCACATTTACATGGGAGGTACAGAGAAGTACTGTAAATGTACTCTGAGCTGCGCATGCACGGCTCAGTGTAAGTTCCACTGGCAGGCCAAGGGAAACATTTATGATACAAGAGACCATTAGGGTCCTTGCCCACAATTTAAGTTTAATTCTGCTTTGAAACTCCTAACAATGTTTTTTTGCTGTCTGTACGTTTCTATGGACCTTTCATTTCTTGTGTGGGTGCACTGGAGCAGGAAGTGAGAGACAATCTCCAAATGGAGTCACATACCAATGAAAGCAGCCAGAGTCCAGTGTCAATAATTCAATCACATTACATAATATTAGTTGTATTAATCACCAATTTAGTCTATTTTTTGCTTGATATTCCAACCTACCTATAGCAAATGATTTTTTCTCTATTTTGTCTTTTTAAAAGGCTGACAGCACAATGCCGTTGTTATCCATGCTGCCTTTGGTTTTAGCTCTGTCTTTTCCACATTTGGCTCTGTCTGCCCCAAGACTTTCGGTGAGTAGGACTGATTTTTTACAATGCATCAGGGGACCACGCATGAAAATGGTAATAGACTGACATTTCTGCTTATTTAGAAACGTGGTTACCGGAGGGATTTTGTAAGAAAAAGTCAAAATTAAAAGAGTACCTATGGTCAAAATGTATATTCATTGCACATTGTACAGTTGCAAGAAAAAGTATGTGAACCTCTTGGGATTACGTGGCGTTTTGCATGAATTGGGCATAAAATGTCCTCTGAACGTCATCTAAGTCACAACAAGAGAAGAACACAGTCTGCTGAACATAATACTACACAAACATTAGATGTTGCCATGGTTTAATTGCACATAACATGTAAACATTCACAGTGCAGGGAGGAAAAAGTATGTGAGGCCCTAGCTTAATGACTTCTCCCAGAGCTAATTGGAGTCAGGAGTGAGCCAACCTTGACTCCAATCAGTGTGATGATATTGGATGTGTTGCTGACAGCTGTCCTGCCCTTAAAAAACACACACCTGTTTTGGGTTTACTGGTTTCAAGAAGCACTGTCTGATGTGAGGGCAGGACAGCTGTCAGCAACACATCCAATATCATCACACTGATTGGAGTCAAGGTTGGCTCACTCCTGGCTCCAATTAGCTCTGGGAGAAGTCATTAAGCTAGGGCCTCACATACTTTTTCCTCCCTGCACTGTGAATGTTTACATGTTATGTGCAATTAAACCATGGCAACATCTAATGTTTGTGTAGTATTATGTTCAGCAGACTGTGTTCTTCTATTGTTGTGACTTAGATGACGTTCAGAGCACATTTTATGCCCAATTCATGCAAAACTCCACGTAATTCCAAGGGGTTCACATACTTTTTCTTGCAACTGTAGTTCAATTATCTTTAGGCTCCATGCACACGGGGCGTTTTTAATAACGCTGGTAACGTTAGCTGTGTAAAGTCACGTTAAAAATGTGAGTTTTTCAGCTTTTTTTAGCATTTTTGCATTAGTGTTTAGCAGCATTTGCCGCAATTGGTGGCGTTTTCCTGCGTTCTTCTGCGTTTTTCTGCGTTGCATTCTTTTGGTCAATGTGCAGAAATTAATCAGCAGAAAAGTGAAGGCCAGTCCATTTTTATTAACTGAAGTCTAAGGGCTCGTTCATACTATAAATGCAGAAAAAAGGATGGAAAAGGACGCGCAGATTTCACTTGCAGAGACATCAGTTTTCATGCGCGCTGCAATGAGTTTTATATTCCTATGCAGAAAAAATCTGCATGTGATACCAGTGTTGTGGTGTGAACAGGGCACATAGAGAATGATTGATTTCATTGTGTCCTTGCAGAACCCGGGCAGAAAAAGTGACGTCTCTGCATCATGGTGGGAACAAGCCCTGACAGAAACTTTTTTTTTTTAAAGCGGAGTTCCACCCAAAAGGGGAAGTTCCACTTTAAAGATTGGTCCCCCGCTCCCCATTAAGGATTGGCACCTTTGGGGAGCAGGGGGGGGAATGGGTACCCGAATTTGACAGGTACCCACTCCCGCTTCTGCTGCAATTGCCTAGGAAATCGGAAACGGAAGTTGTCCTCTTACCCACCCTCCCCGAAGTCTTGTGGGACACGTGATAGGTACCAGAAGACGACGGAGCCATTCAGGAAGCGCAGCGCTACTCCCGCATGCGCAGTGGGCACCCAGCTGTGAAGCCGCAAGCTGTCACAGCCGGGTGCCCACACTGAAGATGCCGGCACCTGGAATACAGGACGGCTGGTGAAATGGGCTGCGGCGGGGGCAACGCGTGATCATGGGACAGGTGAGTGGCTGTTTTTTAAAAGTCAGTAGCTACAGTTTTTGTAGCTGCTGACTTTTATTTTTTTTACAGAGTGAGCGGAACTCCGCTTTAAGTCTGCAAACTTGCTTAGTAATTTTCTAAACCATGTCAAGTAGTGACATCTACTGGATACCAAAGGTACTGGGTAAAGGTAGATTTTTAATACAGGAATACCACGGTTTACGATCACCTCGGTTAACGTAATTTTCGGTTTATGAATGAAAGTCCACTGAAAATAATGGCTGGGTTTACAAATTTTTTTTGCAATACAAACAGATTCATTGGTTTTCAATGCATTTACAAATTTTTTTTTATCATGTCCTTTTGTCCTATCATGTACTTTTTTCTGACCTCGGAATGGATTAATTGGTTTTCAATGCATTCCTAAGGGAAACCATGTTTCGGTTTACAAATTTTTCGCAATACAAAAATGCATGATCCCCAGCCCCCCACGACATAAAAATGTACTTCATATCTGATCTGCCATTTTTAAATTACAGCTACAGATCTTAGAAATATTTGATGAATTTCTATAGTAAATGTTACATCTGCTTGACCCAAGCTGTCTTTTTTCTTCTGCTCTCTGGAGAGGGTGAATGACTGATTTAATAAACAATTCCCTCATCGATTACCGAGGATGATCTGGTTCGTCTCGCTCTTACATGCTCTCCACTTACTCGACTCCCTTCAAATGATGACTTTAGTCATAAAATCCTAATTTGCCTTGGCAGGAATTGACCCCCTGCCCACACTACAGAGAAATGACATAATTTGCCAATGCATGTACAGTATGGTCAATGAGTAACCAATTGCAGATGAATGTGCCTAGATTTGATAATTTGTTAAAAATATGTCCCTCAGAAAACCCTCAGAACTAAAGATGGCCATACACTGGTAGATTTTCAAACAAACATTAGGAGGAAATTGTTATCAATACTAGGGTTGCACCAATACTGTTTTTTTATCAGTGAGCACCGATACTTGTGCTTAAGTACTCGCTTGGGTACCGTTCACCAATACCTTTGCATTGCGAATTGATCCTATACAAAATGAATGGCTTAATTCACACTGCAAATCGCATTGCACCTGCAGTGAAATCACACGTGATTCGGACAGGAATTCTACCTCATTCCTGTTCATATCACATGAGATTATTTTTTTTTTTTTTTTTTTTTTTTATCACGTAATTTTTCTTAACCAAATTTTTTTCAAAAGCAAAAATAAAAGTTACAAAGAACTATATATTACAAAAATAAAAGTAGTAACATGCAATTCTTTAAAATGCAGTTTGAGCCCATTCATTTTGTATGGGCTCAAATCGCACCGCAAAGGTATCAGTTTCACGTATTGGTGCATTTGCACAAGTATTCGTGCAAATACTTAGTATTGGCACCGATACCGGTATCAGTATCAGTGGAACCCTAATCAATACACTCAATGACTTGAGGAATGACATTTGAAGAACAAATAAGGAAATTATGTGTGACATGCGTTGCCCATCCATGTGTTCCTTGCTGTGAAGGGCAGTTATAGACTGGAGAAGTGGCCATTTATTGTACTGTTGCATTTTTGGTGAGGGGGGGGGAGCACTGGACACTTTAGCTGCCATTGTGCTACATGCTGGGTGTCCAGTGCTCTCCTGTACCTTTTAAGGAGGGGTGGGCTCCCTCAAGTTCATCTGCCCTTGATCTATCCATTAAATACATGTGCCTCTACTATGGTGGCTCCCAAATTTTGTAGGGTTAGGAACTACAGAATATCAGGGTGCCGTGACGAGGCTCTGTAGCTTACGTATGTATTTGCAAATGTGTGCTAACTAAACCCTTGTTTTTAATGCATACTGTTAGACAAGTTAATTCGGTTTGTTTGCATGCTGGCTGGCAAGTTGAGCTGGGAACTTTTCTCTTTTGTTGTTTAACATGCGTCGCCAGTCCATGTGTTCCTTGCTGTGAAGGCCAGTTATAGACTGGGGCAGTGGCCATTTTGTGTACTAATAAATACATTCAATGACTTGATGAATGACATTTGAAATACAAATAAGGAAATTATGTGTGCTTTTAACATTCGATATTGGAGTCAGGGGCAGACTGACCATTTGGAAACTCGGCACTGCCCGAGGGTCCCGGGGTCAGTAGGGGGCCCCATGAGATGCCCCTGGTACCTTTTTCATAGGCTTTTTTTAATTTGGGCAAGGACACAGGGGCCCCATGATCCCCTATTGCCCGGTTGCCCCATGAGTTGTCAGTCCGCCCCTGATTGGAGTGCATGGACTTTCCCAATAAATAACCCCGTTCACTTTTAGAAATTTGTTAATTCAAGAAAATGTTTCCATTCTGCTCCGTTGAATTTTCTCATCACTCAGGTTGAATATAAACATCAATTCAACTCCACTAAAGCTGGCCATACATGGATCCAAATTCAGACAGTTTAGCAGGGAATGGACGAATTTCGATCCACATATGGCCACTGTGATTGAACAGAAGTCGATCTACCAATCGACTTCTGTTCAACTGCCCTCTCAGACAAAAGCCCCTCGATCAGTGTAACAGGCAATAGGCTACAGCACTGATCTGTGTATTCTGGTGGTTGGGGAGTCTCCCCACTGTAAGAACACAATAGCACAGCAGGGAGGATTCCCCCATCAACTTCAACTTTGTGGATGGGGGAATTCGGTCAATTTACTTTGTTCAAAGTGCTAGCTGAATGTAAGAACTGACCCATGTATGGCCAAATTACCAGTTAAAAAAATGGAACGATTGTTCTTAATGGAAATAATTTCTAACAAAATTCTTCTAGAGTATGACCAGCTTTATAATGGCCACACACAGTACTATCTAATTCACTTGCATTGCTTGCAATTATTGGATCATTTTTGTCCTTTCTGGGGTACCATATTGCATACCTCAGGCCATTATAGGCACTTTCTGTTGAGAAATCTCAGTGTAACTAGGGCTTAACCTTGTACTCTCCTACAGAGAACTGGTAAAATGTACCGAATATAGTGATAAAAGAAGGTAAAGCGAGCGCTCAAAATAATTTGAATATATAGAAATATATATAAATAGCAGCTAGAACACCTGAGAGAATCACAATAACCTCACTTACTAATAGTAAAATAAATGAATAAAGTGCAGCGCTTCAAATATCAGATAAATAGCAGATAAATGGATAAAAAATCATCTATAATTCATCTGAATAATAGTTTAAAAGTTCATGCAATCAATAAAATTCGTATATATAGCACCAATAGGAACTTCCACAATTTCAGGTGATTCGTAAAAGCTTGTGACAGATATATGGCAGAAATGCGCACTCACTGACTGCACATAGGAAATGCGCAGAAATAACCATCAAACGAAGTGTGAACCAGCAGGTAAAATATGAGGCATCCCTCAGGAAAATGTGTCATCAAGCTTGGGTGAAGAGAGCCAAAAAGAAATGAAGTGCCAATAGTGCAGTATTTTGGAACTTTATTGAATGAATAATATAATTGTAAAATAGAATTTGTAGGGTGCAAGTACATAAAATAATGCCAAGTAGTGAAATAACTACAGGTACTTGGCATTGTTTTATGTACTTGCACCCTACAAATTCTATTTTACAATTATATTATTCATTCAATAAAGTTCCAAAATACTGCACTATTGGCACTTCATTTCTTTTTGGCTCCCCATTGAGGGGATAATAGATCCGCAGCACTACTTCCACTTTATTCAACATCCAGAGGAGGGAGCCCTGTCATCTAGGTTGTTATATCCATACTTCCTTAAGGGAGTCCTCTGAGTTCAGCAGACCGTCTCTTCACGCAAGCTTGATGACACATTTTCCTGAGGGATGCCTCATATTTTACCTGCTGGTTCACACTCACACTTGATGGTTATTTATGCGCATTTTCTATGTGCAGCCGGTGAGTGCGCATTTCTGACTTATATCTGTCACAAGCTTTTACAAATCACCTGAAATTGTGGAAGTTCCTATTAGTGCTATATACAAATTTTATTGATTGTATGAACTTTTAAACTATTAATTAGACAAATTATAGACAATTTTTTATCCATTTATCTGCTATTTATCTGATATTTTAAGCGCTGCACTTTATTCATTTATTTTACTACCGAATATACTGCATGTCTTTGTTTCCCATGTATTGTGGCAGATCTTCAACTCCTTAGAATGATATCTGCCTGTTCGTTGGGTCTGACTTTGGGCTGCCTAATTGATATAATGTAGCAACTTGCTACAGTATATAATGATATTAGTGGTATCTTCTATCTACTGTTATATGTGTGCATGGTTGCATACTCAACTGTGCACTAATGTTAATGGTTTAAATCAGTGGTCTCCAAACTGTGGTCCAGGGATCGAATGTGGCCCTTTGCATACTTTTGTCCGCCCCTTGGGGTGCTATTCCTCATACTGATGCCGACACTGACAACAATGGGGCAATAATTCCTGCACTGACACCAGTGGGGCACTATTCCTCCCACTGACATCAATGATGGGGCATTATTCCTTCCAATGATGCCAATGATGGGGCACTATTCCTCCCACTGATACCAATGATGGGGCACTATTCCTCCCACTGATACCAATGATGGGGCACTTTTCCTCTCACTGACACCAATGATGGGGCACTATTCCTTCCACTGATACCAATGATGGGGAACTATTCCTTCCACTGATACCAATGATGGGGCACTATTCCTTCCACTGATATTAATGATGGGGTACTATTCCTTCCACTGATATTAATGATGGTGTACTATTCCTTCCACTGATACCAATGATGGGGCACTGTTCCTTCCACTGATACCAATGATGGGGCACTGTTCCTTCCACTGATACCAATGATGGGGCACTGTTCCTTCCACTGATACCAATGATGGGGCACTGTTCCTTCCACTGATACCAATGATGGGGAATTATTCCTTCCACTGACCCCAATGATGGGGCACTATTCCTTCCACTGATATTAATTATGGGGCACTATTACTCCCACTGATACCAATGATGGGGAATTATTCTTTCCACTGATACCAATGATGGGGCACTATTCCCTCCTCTGATACCAATGATGGGGCACTGTTTCTTCCACTGATATTAATGATGGGGCACTATTCTTCCCAATGACACCAATGATGAGGCATTACTCTTCCCACTGACCCCAATGATGGGGCACTATTCCTTCCACTGACATCAATAATGGGGCGCTACTGCTCCCACTAACACCAGTGATGGGGATACTATTTCTCCCACTAATAACAATGATGAGGCATCATTCCTCCTACTGACACCAACAGCGGGGCACCATTCCTCATATTGACATCAATGATGGAGCACTATTCCTCCCACTGGCACCAACAATGGGGCACTAATATTTCCCATAATAGATGGGAAAAGATGGGACATTGTTTACTTTCACTGATGTCAGGACATTTTCTACTCCCACTGACCACAATTCAGCACCCCTAAATTCTGAAGGACAGTAAACTGGCCCTTTGTTCAGAAAGTTTGGAGAACCCTGGTTTAAATGTTTGCTGTACTTTTAAGGCTGATCCAATCAACTAGAAACCAAAGCATTCCATAGGGCAGTGAAAAAGGTAATGATAAAAGATAAATACAATAAATGTAAAAAAGAAATGGATCTGTCATGTGACTTCAGGTTCAGTTTCTACATTTTTGGATTTTACAGCATTATTCATTTTCTTCTATTTCTTTGCGGAAGGACCTAGAAATTTGCCAAATAGACAATGCTAAACTGCAGCACCGGATTCAGATTTTGGAAAACATGCTGGAGCTGGGGAAACTTCAGCTGAAGGACCTCAAAGAAAACAATTATCACTCAATCAAAAGCAAAGTGTATAAAAACAGCCTGACCAAAAGCCTACTGGAGGATGTCCAGCTGCCCTCTACCTCTGGGAACCTTATTGTTTATAATAAAGGTTGGTGACTTTCAAAGCTTTAAGCTTTATTTATATGAAGGGAAGAATCTGATTGAAGGCTATAAAACACAAGTACATTCACTCATAAAGACATTATGAGTTGGACAATTTGTAATATAGTAGGCCTCAAGTAAGGCCCCAACATTACAAAATAGATGCACTTTATTTTCTGATGTTTGTTCTCCCAAGATGTCTTCCAGAGTCCATGGCAAAGGACACGCTGGTGTCATGCATGACTCCATCATATCCTAGATAGTGCAAAAGGGATAAACATTCCCTGCAAAACAATTCTAAATAAGGAACTAAAGATGAGTGGAGGCATCTAGTGGTGGTGGAAAGTAGGAAATACATGCCTAACACCCTGTTAAAAACATGTCCGCAATCCCTGAAATAAGACCACATCCTGCAACATGTTTGCAAATTCAGATCACCTGACTGTCTCAGACTGAAAAGTCGCTGCATCTCTGCCCCTCAGCAACTGCAGGTATTTAACCGTAAAACACTTGTTCCACCTGTGAACCGCTGTGTTTCCTCCTAGCGTGTACGTCATTGTACTGAAGTATGAGTTGGCAAGAGGAACCACTTCAATCAGAGAGGAGCAAGTTTTTCACACACACGGAAATATAGAAAACTTGATGCAGAAAGGAAGCAGAGGCTTCTCAAAAACAGAGTCTCTAGAAAGATAAATATAGAGTGGCATATTCTCCATGGGTACAATGTGTGCTATGCACACGGGCCCCAAGGAGGGGGACACACTGTGCCCTCACACATATACTGTATAACATGGGGAAGTGCCGTTGTGTTCTCTGTCTTTGCTGCATCTGTGATTAACAATTGCAGCTGCAGCAAAGGCCCATCCTGCTGGGAGGGCAGGTTGCTGTTTCCATGGGGAGGAGGGCTGTGATTGGCCACTGCTAATGTTAATAACAATCCTGATAGCCCCACCTAAGGGGCAAGCAGGAAGAGAGCCCACACTAAGGAAGGAACCACCACGAGTTCAGGGATGGTGGTAAGCTGTGCAGGGGAGGGCTGTGTGGCTGTACTGTGGGACAGAGGGTCACTTACCACTGACCCCTGAACTCTGCACCACATATTACTGACCTATGAACTCTGCGTTACTTACTACTGACCCCTGAACTCTGCGTCACTTACTACTGACCTATGAACTCTGTGTCACCTATTACTGACCTATGAACTCTGCGTTACGTACTACTGACCCCTGAACTCTGCGTCACTTACTACTGACCTATGAACTCTGTGTCACCTATTACTGACCTATGAACTCTGCGTTACGTACTACTGACCCCTGAACTCTGCGTCACTTACTACTGACCTATGAACTCTGCAACACATATTACTGACCTCTGAACTCTGTGTCACCTAATACTGACCTATGAACTCTGCGTTATGTACTACTGACCCCTGAACTCTGCATCACTTACTACTGACCTATGAACTCTGCGTCACTACTGACCTATGAACTTCACCTTACAACTGACCTATGAACTCTGCATCACTTACTACTGACCTATGAACTCTGCGTTACGTACTACTGACCCCTGAACTCTGCATCACTTACTACTGACCTATGGACTCTGTGTCACTTACTACTGACCTATGAACTCTGTGTTACTTACTACTGACCCCTTGAACTCTGCATCTCTTACTCCTGACCTATGAACATTGTATCACTTATTACTGATCCCTGAACTCTGCAACACACATTACTGACCTATGTACATTGCATTACTTACTACTGACCTCTAAACTCTGCGTCACTTACTACTGACCTGTGAACTATGCATCACTACTGACACCTGAACTTTGAATCAATGATTTCTAACCTCTGAACTCTGCGTCACTACTGACCCTGACCCCTGACCTCTGTATCACTTACTCCTGAACCTTTGCATCACTTACTCCTGGACCCCTGCACTCTGCATCCCTTTAAGCCACAGACAATATTCTACAACCCTAACAGCATGGATGATGAATGCTCTTCTACAGCCACCTTTCTTATGAACCTGCTGAATAGCTTGCCCTGCCAAGTATGGTGTATGAATACAGTATGTGACGTCTAACTTCCATTTTCTACAGATTGTTCAGCAGTATTTGAGAGTGGAAGAAAAGAAAATGGCTATTATCGCATACTACCCAAACCACTCACTGAACCAGTCACTGTTTTCTGTGACATGTCTGATGGAGGGGGGTGGACCGTTATTCAACGTCGCAGCAATGGCAAAGTCAGTTTTAACAGGTACAAGAAGTAGTACAAATCTACAATTGAACAAACATTGTTTTCTGATAGGTGATGGAAGAATAGTGTTACAAATTGTGATGTGAGGGTCTTTAGCTCTCTTGGTAGATGCGTTTGTACAGTAAGTCCATGGCAGACAGGAACTATAGTTAAGGGCCCAGTAACTCACTTTTATTAAGAAAGAAAAACAAAGTCTTTATAATCTAAAGTTTCCCTCTCCAGGGTTTCAGCTTTGCAACAAACAAAAATGCAGATCCACCTGGCTCTTAAGCTCACTCAGTTTTAATTGCAGTACCCTGCTGCACGTGCCAACTCTTAGCCCCTAGGAACAGGTTCTCTTGATACCCCAGGTGCTCTCACTCCGCTGAGTCTCACCCTCTGGCTCCCCTGGACTCTCTCAGTTTACTCATCTCCAGTGTCCCAGACTCTTTCAGCTGGCCCAAATCTCTTGGTCCAATGGCCTGGAGCCTGCCCCACATGGAGTGCTGTCTCAAGGATATTGCCTTGGTCTACAAACAGGAGCACAACAACAGGAGCACACCTCTCTCCTGATTGCAACAACTCCAACTCCACCTACACTGAGCTATGATCAGATCTGCCTTACTGTATAATGACCCTGCAGACCTGTGCCCTCACACAAGCTACAAGAGTCAAGCAAAACCTGGACACAGGATTGAAGTTTCCATCCCACTCAATACTCTTTGGAACCTTCAAGCTCCCCGTCCCGATCCAGGACTACCAAAACTACTACTGGAGAAAGCATAGAACACTCCATTCACAATCAACCTACCAGAACTTCTCAAACTGCAGTTTTGAGAATCCAGTGTCACTTTTATGTCCATTTAGATAGTGGCATGGTCTCACACTGTCACAATATGTATAGAGAAGCTTTGACCAAGAGGCGAGGTGATAACTTGATCTCTGAGGGTATTTCTAACGAATCAGAGGTGGATTGCAGTCATAGTATATTATTATATTATATTATTATACAGGATTTATACAGCGCCAGCAGTTACAATACAATTTGGTACAAGAGCAACAGAGGGCCCTGCTCGTTAGAGCTTACAATCTAAGAGGAAGGATTGAGTGATACAAAAGGTAATGGGGGATGAGCTGATGGAGGAAGTAAAACACAGTTTACTAGTTAGAAGCAGGATAGGCTTCTTTAAAGAAAAGGAGATTAGGAAATAGTTGAACAGATTGGGGTAGGGAGTTCCATAGGGTGTGAGAAGCTCGGGAGAAGTCCTGCAGGCGAGCATGGGAGGAGGGTGTGACATGGGAACTAGAGAGAGCAGAAGGTCTTGGGAGGATTGAAGAGAGAAGTTCGGTTGATATTTTGAGACCAGGTTGGTGATGTAGCTGGGGGCAGAGTTGTGGATGGCTTTGTAAGTTGTGTTAGTATTTTGAATTTTATTTATTGGGTGAGCGGAAGCCAGTCAAGGGATTGGCAGAGAGGTGTAGCAAACACTGAATGGTTGGTAAGGTGGATGAGCCTGGCAGCATTTATGATGGACTGAAGGGGTGATAATCTATGTAAAGGTAAGCCAATGAGGAAGGAGTTGCAGTAGTCGAGGCGAGAGATAACAATTAGAAGCTTTGTTTGTGGTTTCATTGGTTAAAAAGGGTCGTATTCTGGAGATGTTGCGGAGGTTAAGGCAGCATAATTTGGACAGGGATTGGATGTGGGCCTGAAAGGATAGTTCAGAATCGAGGGCTACCCCTAGCACCCTGGCTTGCGGGGACGGGTTGATAGATGTGCTATTGATTTTGACCGAGAAATCAGGGGAAGAGGCACGTGGGGGAGGAAATATTATGAGCTGAGTTTTGGATAGATTGAGTTTTAGGAAGTGGTGTGACATCCAGTTTGATATGTCTGTTAGTAAATCAGTGATACGTGAGGAAACAGATGGGGTGAGCTGAGAAGTAGAGCGATAGATGTGTGTGGTATTGGAAACCATGGAAAGTTCTCAGCTGACCCAGGGAAAAAGTGTACATCAAGTATAGGAGAGGTCCAAGGACAGTGTCAGGAATGGACCGGCCAGCAATGGTGGGACTCACCTGCCTTTTGATCTGCAGTACCAGGGCTGGCCAGTGGGTGCACCCAGCAATCAGAGACTCAACCTTTCAGCCAGCTAACACCTGGAACTGATGATACTGGTGTATTTAAGGGATGGCCAGACTTGCAGACTCTGCCTTGGTGTTGTGTTTGTACTGGGCCCTGTATCTGTCCTGCATCCTGTTTAGTATTGCACTGCGTTTATGTTTGTATGGTTAAATTATATTGTTTATCACATACCTGAAGTCTGCGTTTCCCTGCGTCAGTCACACACCTCTGGTCACACCTGGGAGCCCTGACATTACACCAAGGCCAATCCTGACCAGAAGTGGCTGCACAGGGAAGCCATCTTGGCTTGTTGCTGGGAAGGATGGATCTGGATGAGGTTGAGTATTTATCTCTGCTAGTGCTTGATGACAGAAAATATGCTTATCAGACTCTGAAGGAGTATACCCGGGATGAACTGCTAGAATGTATACGGCTCGCTCATGTTCTAGTAGATCAGGGCACAGATTTCTCTATGGTGCAGCCATTGATTAAGGTTTGTGTTGAGTTGGTTTCATCTGGTTTCCCCGAATGCAGGGATGAATTTTTGCCACCATTTAGTGCAGACCAGGTAGAGTCCCTGGTGTGGTTATTAGAGGATGATGTGGGTTACTTTCTGGAGCGTTATTCTACATGTTCACCACAGATACTAAGAGATTGTATAAACGCAGTGCAGTCTTTGGTCAGACAGGCTTTGTGTAAGCTCAGCTTTGTTCAACCCCTACTGCAGACATGGACAGACTTGTTGCACCCAGCCTCAGTCAGCTTACAAAGACCCAGTCCTGCTTCTAATCTATTTCCTCAAAGCTCTACTCCTGTATTCCCAACAACTCCCCCAGTTACAGCCCAGTATACTTGGCTATCTACCGCATGTCAGTACCCTGTTCCCACTCGCTGCACCTATCCTGCCTTTAACCCTGTAAAAAAGCCCTCTGTAGCAACTGCTCCCTCCTCTGTTCCATCCTCCAGTTCTTCTCTGTCTCCAGCTGCTCCATTTGTTTGCAGACCTGCGTTTACTTGCAGTGCTCCAGTAGTTAAAACCAGAAAAAAGCGAAAATTCTTTCCAACCAATACCATCCTGCCAGTATCTAAACTGGTGAACCTGCCTTCCGTGGTTCTGGTGAACCTGCCTTCCGTGGTTCAGCCTGATGCCTGTACTCAGCCTGATGCCTCTCTTCTGCCTGATGCCTCTCTTCTGCCTGAAGCCTCTACTCGGCCTGAAGCCTCTACTCGGCCTGATGCCTCTACTCGGCCTGAGCCTCTACTCGGCCTGGAGCCTCTACTCAGCCTGATGCCTCTACTCAGCCTGATGCCTCTACTCAGCCTGATGCCTCTACTCAGCCTGAAGCCTCTACTCAGCCTGAAGCCTCTACTCAGCCTGAAGCCTCTACTCAGCCTGAAGCCTCTACTCAGCCGGACGCCGGCATTCAGCCTGATGCCTCTACCCAGCATGATGAACTGATCCAGCCTGACGATCCTATTAGGCCAGTTGACTCGATGCCCGCTGTTGATCCAGATGATCCGGTACCTGATCCGGTGCCCGCTATCGTGCCAATTGACTCAGAGCCCGCTGTCATACCTGGTGACTCGGTGCCCACTGCCTTGCCAGATGACGCGGTGCCCGCTGGCGAGCCAAATGACCTGATGCCTGGTGACCCAGGGCCCGCTGTCATACCTGGTGACCCGATGCCCGCTGTCGAGCCAGACGATCCAATGCCTGGTGACCCGGTGCCCACTGTCGTGCCTGTTGACTCGGAGCCCACTGCCTTGCCAGATGACGCGGTGCCCGCTGTCGAGCCAAATGACCTGATGCCTGGTGACCCAGTGCCCGCTGTCATACCTGGTGACCCGATGCCCGCTGTCGAGCCAGACAATCCGGTACCTGATGACCCGGTGCCCACTGTCATGCCTGTTGACTCGGAGCCCACTGCCTTGCCAGATGACGCGGTGCTCGCTGTCGAGCCAAATGACTTGATGCCTGGTGACCCGATGCCCGCTGTCCAGCCAGACGATCCAATGTCTGACCCAGTGCCCGCGGTCATACCAGTTGACTCGGAGCCCACTGCCTTGCCAGATGACGAGGTGCCCGCTGTCGAGCCAAATGACCTGATGCCTGGTGACCCGATGCCCGCTGTCCAGCCAGACGATCCAATGTCTGACCCAGTGCCAGCGGTCATGCCAGTTGACTCGGAGCCCACTGTCGTGCCTGGTGACTCGGTGCCCGCCGCTTCGCCTGGGGGCCCGAGACCTGTCGCTCCGCCTGGGGGTCCGGCGCCCGCCGCTCCGCCTGGGGGCCCGAGACCTGTCGCCCACCTGGGGGTCTGGCGACCGCCGCTCCGCCTGAGGGCCCGAGACCTGTCGCTCCACCTGGGGGTCCGGCGCCCGCCGCTCCGCCTGGGGGCCCGATGCCGTCGTCGCCCCGCCCGGGGACCCGATGCCGGTCGCCCCGCCCGGGGGGGCCGATGCCTGTCGCCCCGCCTGGGGACCCGATGCCGGTCGCCCCGCCTGGGGGCCCGATGCCTGTCGCCCCGCCTGGGGGCCCGATGCCTGTCGCCCCGCCTGGGGGCCCGATGCCTGTCGCCCGGCCTGGGGGCCCGGCGCTCCGCCTGGGGGCCCGGCGCCCGCCGCCCCGCCCGGGGACCCGATGCCGGTCGCCCCGCCCGGGGACCCGATGCCTGTCGCCCCGCCCGGGGCCCCGATGCCGGTCGCCCCGCCTGGGGGCCCGATGCCTGTCCTGCCCCCGCCTGGGGGCCCGATGCCTGTCGCCCCGCCTGGGGGCCCTGGCGCCCGCCGCTCCGCCGGGGGGCCCGATGCCTGTCGCCCCGCCTGGGGGCCCGATGCCTGTCGCCCCCGTCTGGGGGCCCGGTGTGCCTCTGCCCGATGTGCCTCTGCCCGGAGTGCAGCCCGATGTGCCTCTGCCCGGAGTCCAGCCCGATGTGCCTCTGCCCGGAGTCCAGCCCGGTGTGCCGCTGCCCGGAGTCCTGCCCGGTGTGCCAGTCTTTGATATCCCGCAGTTACCAGACCCGGGCGGTGGAACATTTTGTCCAGCTAGGACTGTTTGGAGCGTCCTGAGGCCGCTCCTTGAGGGGGGGGTACTGTCAGGCATGGACTGGCCAGCAATGGTGGGACTCACCTGCCTTTTGATCTGCAGTACCAAGGCTGGCCAGCGGGTGCTCCCAGCAATCAGAGACTCAACCTTTCAGCCAGCTAACACCTGGAACTGATGATACTGGTGTATTTAAGGGATGGCCAGATTTGCAGACTCTGCCTTGGTGTTGTGTTTGTCCTGGGCCCTGTATCTGTCCTGCATCCTGTTTCTGTTCCTTTGCTGACCCTGCCTGATCTGAACCGCTGCTGACTTCTCCTGCTCCCGCTCCTGACCATCCCTCTGCCTGACCCTCTGTACCACGCTGCTTGCTACCTGTTCTGATCCCTGGCTTGTGACCCTGACCATCCCTCTGCCTGACCTGTACTACGCTGCTAGCTACCTGCTGAACCTGGCCTGTGACCCCGACCCATCTCCGCTTGCTCCCCCTGTACCTACCTGCCCTATTGATATTGACCCGGCCTGCCTGACGACGCTTGCTTGTATGTACTGTTATCTGTGGGTGGTTGGTTTGGTTTGTTTGCACTGTATTATGTTTTAGTATTGCACTGAGTTTATGTTTGTATGGTTAGTGTTAATAAATTCTATTGTTTATCACATACCTGAAGTCTGCGTTTCCCTGCGTCAGTCACACACCTCTGGTCACACCTGGGAGCCCTGACAGACAGAACCTTAGGGGATCCCTGCAATAAGAGGAGTAGGAGAGAAGGAAGTAGCGTTATAAGTGACACTGAAAGTGCGGTGAGATAGGTAAGATTCAAACCAATGGAGAGTACAGTCATGAAGGCCAAGTATGTAGAGTTTTTTTGAGGAGGATGGGGTGGTCAACTGTGTCAAAGGCAGCCGAGAGATCCAAGAGTAAGAGTACAGAATAGTGACCATTGGTTTTAGCTGTTAGTAAGTCATTTGTGAGTTTTAGGAGAGCAGTTTCTGTGGAGTGTTGTGGGTGAAATCCAGACTGAAGGGGATCGAGAAGGTTATTCTCAATGACCATAAAAACATCAAAGGGAAACTTCCATAGCGTAACACCGTATTTATTAGGTAAAAAACACTTAAAATTACACTTATATAAAAAACATGTGTATGGCACTGTCAGGGATCACGGCGCCGGAATCCTGCATCACGGCGCCGTCCCCCCGCGCATGCGCACTGGCGGCGAGCCGCGGCTGACAGGACGCCGCGCATGCGCAGTAGAGAGTCGAGGGCGCGCCTCAGGCGTCCAATGACAGCCGGGGGCGCGTCCCAGCCAGCCAATGACAGTGCAGGGCGCACTATTTAAAGATGCCCTGCACTGTCACCCATTGCCGCAAGGTCTTATGTGATCCTGGATACCTGCTCCTGTTCTGTGACCCTGTTTTTTCGACCCTGACTACGCTGCCTGCCCCTGTGTCTGACCCGGCTTGTCCTGACTCCTCTGCCTGCTCCTGCGTTTTGACTCGGATATCCTGACTATTCTACGGACTGATTTACCTGGCTGACCCTGCATGTGACCTGACTACTCCTTGCCCGCTGATTTGGTACCCCGCTTACCCCCCACGGAACCACTATCCGTGCCACCCTGCTGGGGCCGTCATCCGCCTCATATCTGGCTCTCCCGGTACCTACACGCATCCCCGGAGGCCTTCCCAGCCGCTGGTGGGCCCGCCCAGAGGTCGTGACCTGGCCCGGGACTGTTTCAAGTCCATCCCCACCATCAGGGGCCCTGGTGAAGGCACAGCCCGGGCTTAGACCCCACGCTCTGGGTTGGTCTATCAGTTGGCAGCCGGAAGGCTCCGCCTGGCGGATCATAACAGGCACTTTAAATCCCAGCACAAAGCAATTCCTTCTCAGAGGACTAGTGTAGCACTATCAGGCCCCGCCCTACACATTTCGCCATATGACATCATATGATGAAATGCGTAGGGTGGGGCCTGATAGCGCTACACTTGTCCTCTGAGAAAGAATTGCTTTTTTGCTGGAATTTAAAGTGCCATACACATGTTTTTTATGTAAGTGTAATTTTGTACGGTGTTACACTATGGAAGTTTCCCTTTGATGTTTTTACGGTGGTGGAGGAGTACTGTGGATGTTCTGGAGGAGTTTTCACAAGCGACTGGTATAGAGGTGTTCCCACATATGGATATACCAGTGTATAGAGGTATCAAGACCATACAGATGGCCAACGTTCTGTAGGAGAGGGCTGCAACATCTATTACGATATTTGCCTTACCATCCAAGATGGTCAATTATTTGTGATGAGTGGGGCTCTGGAGGTAGAGCACTAATTGGAGCGCTTCGCACAGAGAATTGCTATGGATAAGAAGATTAACTATTGTATCACTTAGTATTCACATTGGATGCGGGTGGGGATTTTTTTGGGGACACAATGATTGGGACTTCAATATACATACATACTGTTTTTTTGCATGTAAGTTCATTGTATACATAGTTTGATGGCATTGTATATTTGCTATTTTTAGCACATTTGTTGTTTGAGCACGTTGAGTATATATATTGGTTTTTTATTCATGATTTAGTCACTGGGTAGGAGGGACATACTTGTCAGCCCATAGGGCATTGAAGTATATGCACATTTGTAGGGACCCTATATGTAGTAGGGTGTTCATTTATTTATTTATTTTTTCAGTAGAGGCAGCGCCGCAATTTTTGTGTTTGTACTTACGCATTTGTTCACCGGTACACATTTGTGGTTTTGCTAGCAGCAGCCAGTCTAATTGAATAGGCCTCTGTGCAGGCTACACTTACATATTCTCATGGAGGTAGCAGCACAGCTGGTTGTAGACTAGACGTTCAAGGAGTTTGGAGGCAAAGGGAGTAAGGAGATGGGTCTTAGGTTGCTAAGATTGGTCAGTAGATGCCAGTAGAAAGGGAGAGATTGAAGATATGCGCTAAAGAGTAAAGGATAGAGCCAGAGGGTGACCGTAGTGTTTGCAAGGGAACAGGGTCCAGGTGTCAGGTGGTTAGGTGCACTTTAAAAAAAAGGTTTACCAACTTCCTCTATAGTAGCTGGGTTAAAGAAGGGAAGTATAGATTGTGCAGGTAGACAAGGAGTGTAGGGTGAGGAAGATATCTGTACAGTGGAGATCTTGTCATTAACTGTATCAATCTTATTTTTGAAGTGATTAGCGATCTCCTGGGCAGTGAGTGAGTTAGTGGGTGAAGGTAATGAAGGACGAAGTAGAGCGTTAAAGGTAGAAAAGAGTTCACGGGGACTGCGTGAGAAGGTGTTAATGAGAGTGATAAAATGGGTCTGTTTGGCAGTGTGGAGACAGGAATTGTATTTTTGAAGGACAGATTTATATTGGTCGAAGTCTTGCTGAGTCTAAGTCTTACTCCATAAATACTCAAAAGCATTGCTAAGTTTTTTGAGGCATCTGGTATTGTCTGTTTGCCAGGGCTGTAGCAGTCGGGGCCTATGTAGTGAGGGGGGCCAATGTGTCCAGAGTGGATGACAGTGAACTGTTGTAGACAGAAGTATCCAGGTTGGGGCAGGACAGGGCTGAGATTTTGTCATTGAGACAATCTGTTGCAGAAAAAAAAAGAGAAGGGTTAAGATAATGAAGGTATCTACGGGTAACTGTTTGGTAGTTGGAAGACAAGGAGGAGGAAGCCAAGGAGAGATTGAAGCTAATAAAGGAGTGATCAGAGAGAGGAAGAGGAAAGTTGGTGAGGTTGCAAGAGTGCATAGGCAGAGAGAATACAAGGTCAAGGCAGTTAACATTGTATATGTATATACCCACCATGTCTACAGAGCTTTATGAACAGCCAGTGGTGTCACTATGAGGGTGCGGAGGGTGAGGACCGCACTTGTGACACTAGCCAGTGGGGTGACACCAGCCAGTGGGGTGACACCAGTGGGGACTGGGCCAGTTGCCCCCTGGGTTGTTCTGATGCCCTCTTAAAAGCTGTACCGCTTCCTCTGCAAGCAGGCAGGGCCGGCAGAAGAGCTGGAGAAGTGATCAGTCATTAATCAAAACTGTAGGGAAGATGACACCGGTCATCTGGTCATCCGATTTGAATGGGGAGGAGAGCCAGCCAGAGCAGAAAAAGAGAGGATCTCCTGCTGTCACACAGCTTGGACCTGAAACGCCAGCCATTGTCAAACAAGGTCCCGCCTCCTGGACTGGCTCCCATGATAGACATCACATGGGTCCAATTTCCCGACATTGGACCAGTGTGCTGTTCATCATAGAAGCCGATCCAGGAGGCGGGATTTTTTTTTTACAGTGGCCGGTGTAGCATGAAGACTAAAGATCCCCTCCCCCTTCAAACTGTGATCGGATGCACTGTGTCATCTTCCCCACACATTTGATTTAATGAATGATTGCTTCTCCGTTTGTGAGTTCTTTATAGTTTTTGTTCAAGGCTTTTTTTAACTGGATTCTTTATTTTTCACAGCTATTCACACTATGATCTGAGTGCAGTGCTGTGCAGTGCATTTTCAATCCATCAATTTCAAATGGGCTGAAATCACACCGCACCACACCAGTGCACTGCAACTGGATTGCATGGAACTTCTGTACCATGTGATCCGGTTCGGGCAAACGCACTGCAATTGCGACCTGCATTTAGGGTGTCCTGAACATTGCATTGACACCCACTGCAGATTGCAATGGCAGTGGTTTTGAAATGCAGTGTGGGAAACGAGCACGGAACATGAGTTTCCTGCACCGTGTACCAATGTGAACAGGCCCTAAGAGAGCTCCCTACTTCACCGTCCTGGGTTGCATAGGACTGCTTCAGTTTTACAGTCATTTGCAGTAGAATGCAGTGCAGGAAAGCCACTTTCCTGTGAAGCTTTCTGCACCACATTCCATTTGGGGGGGGGGGGGTGATACCATGTTTTATCACACCAGTTGACATCAACCCTTGTGACGCCACTGCATACAGCTCCACACAAATGAAAAAATATACACTTGGGGGTCATGTTTTACACCCCTTGAGAGTTAGGGACTGATGTGAATGTACAATATATATGTAAAGCACTGTGTAAATTGGCAGCGCTATATAAGTAGCATAAATAAATAAATGTTAGGTGTACATGCAATCGGAAACTGTAGCCATGCAAATTGGGACCTTCAAACTAAACAGTCTAAATGTGGCTTACTAAGTTTTTCTGCTTCCTTGTAACATCCTTGATGAGCTCCTGAACCTCTCCTTTTTCTTCTCACTTCCAATTGTTTGGAATGAGCAGTGCATGTTAGTTGCAGTCATGTGCACTGCTTTATGCATACCACAAATCCCATACTTCATATTTTATCTATAAGCCAGCAAGAAAGGGTAGCTACATTTCTACATACAGTGACACGATAGAGAACAAACGTACCCACCCTCTAACAGTCAGATCACAGCAGCAAAAAAGGAATTTGGAGAAGGATGAGAGCAATAGTACTTTTTTGGATGACAAATACGTTCTTGATTTTTTTTTTAAATATGTGTCTTAGGGCCGATTCACACCATAGAAACGCAGTCCGGATGTGATCCGGATGCATTTCTTCATGCACGTTTTTGATGCGTTCCATTTTTCCCCTCTTATTTCTTCATTTTAACGCGGCAGAAAAGTCCGGTATTAAAGCTTACCTGTAGCTAAAATGAATATCTCCTAAATGTACACCGTTTAGGAGATATCCAGCGAGCAGCAGCCAGTGACATCAGCTCTGTGCCGTGCGCGGGGCTCCCACGCGAATGCGCAGGAGGGATGTCATCGCAGCCATAGCCCACAAACTCGGAAGAAGACCGAGTGAAGATGGAATCTCTTTCAACTGTGACAGGGCACCGCTGAAGGGATCTATTCTAAAGCTAAGTCTGACATAATGTCCTAGTATGCACATTAGCACATTATGGCTTAAACTTGCAGGGGGGGGGGGCTTTTTTAACTTTACTACCATTTTAATAAGGACATGTGCATTCAGGTGCATTTTTGGTGTGTGTAGGTGCATTCCAGTGTGTTTTTGGTGTGTTTTACCACATTCCATTACAGTTAAGTGCAGAAAAAATGCAGTATGTTCTGTTTTTTCTGGAACTGGAACGCACTGGAACTGACCAAACTATGCCATTGGAAGCCATATAACCTACTATCCATGCATTTTGATGCACAAAAATACCTCACTGGATTGCACGTGGTGTGCAGATCTCCCCCCCCCCTCCTAAAATTAACACCACCAATGCAATAATAGGAAGAATTAAAGAGGAGCTCCAGTTCCCCCCAAAAAAATTAAAGTCAGCAGCTACAAATACAAGATAATATAGGATGACATCGATGGAGACTGGGGGTCAGCAAGCCGTCGATTGCGATCTACCCACCTACTACAGCAGCCTAAGGGTAGATCGTGAACACAGCCCTGCTTCCCACCAGTTTCTGTCGCTCTGTCACTCTCATCTTCACTGCAGAGCAGAGAGCAGGAGGCAGCATAGTACCAGATGGAGGGCAGGAGTGGGACCTACCTCATTTAACCTTTAAGTTAACCAGCAAGTGATTGGTTGCTAGGATGCGGTGAGGTCCTAGCAACTAATCACCAGCTTGTTAATATGAAAAATTAGCCTCCAGCAGCTCCCGCACTTCGTCCAGTACAGTGCTGCTTCCAGCTCTCCACTCTGCTATATACATGCTGTCAGGTAGGAGAGTGCTACCTACACAGCAATGTGTGTTTTGGGACACTTTGGGGGTGGTGTAAGACCAGGGGTGGGCTGACAACTCACGGGGCCCCCAGGCAATAGGGGTTCATGGGGCCCCTGTTTCCTTGCCCACACTCAAAAAGCCTGTAAAAGGTACCAGGGGCATTTCATGGGGCCCCATACTGACCCCAGGCCCTCGGGCCGTGCATGAGGGCCCAAATGGTCAGTCCGCCCCTGTAAAGGACACTGCTTTGGGGTATACAGGACACTACAGTGGGGGTGGGTGATGTAAAGGGGGAAAGAGGAAACTGCTTTTGGTGGGGGGCACAGGACACTGCTATGGGGGGGGGGGGTGCACAGGACACTACAGTTGGGAGGGGGGGTTGATGTGAAGGTGGGGCAGAGGACACTGCTTTGGGCAATACAAGACACAACTCTGGGGAGGTAGGGGGGCAGAGAACATTGCTGTGAGGGACAGAGGACACTACAGTGGGGGGTGATGTAAATGGGAAGAAGACGCTACTATGGGGGTGGGGGGACAGAAGAAACTGCTATGGGGGGCAGAGGAAACTACTGTGGGGGGGGGAGCAGAGGACACTACAATGATGGGGGGGGCAGAGGGGCAGAGGACACCACTGTGGGGGGAAAGAGTACATTACAGGGGGGGGATGATGTGAAGGGTGCAGAGGACACTACTGTGGGGGTGGGAGGGGGTAGGGGGTTACAGGACTCTACCGTGGGGTTGATGTGAAATGATGGGAGGAGGGCAGAGGATACTACTCTGTTGAGGGTAGTGATGTGAAGGGAGCAGAGGATACCAAGCCCCCACCTGGGGGATCTTAGATTTTCCCCCATGTTGTCCAGGTAGATTTCAACCACTGAATGGTTACCTAACCCTGCTCTAGAGACTATAGTGAGTGAAGATCTCAAGAGATGTTGTAAGCACCGTGTCTGCTACCTGCAAGCATTATCAGCAGTCATTTAGATCACACACCTTCCCTGTTCTAATATTTGGTTGAGCACAGTTGATCCTCTTGACCATGTCTGCATACTTTTATATATTGAGATGCCATTGTACATGTTGTACAGATCTTGCCATTTCATTGTCTTGATTAATAAGCCAATTTTTTTCCCACACCCAAAGGGAAAATTGTGCTAAAAATATGAAGCTCCAGAAATTCCAGATTGTGATTGTTATTAGCCAAACTTACATAGACATTGTTCTGCATTCTAAATATACCCTTATTTATTTCATTTTGCTTTTATTATGTTTAATGTCATCTGTCCCATTGTTTCCTAGGAAATGGCAGGAGTATAAAGAAGGGTTCGGCCTCTTTAAGCACAGGAATGATGAACATTGGTTGGGAAATGATCGTATTTATCATTTGTTGGAATCAAGTAAGTGGGATTTTACATCACTGAGCTCTTTAATAAATCATACAACTGATTATGGACTTCTTTTGCACTATAAGGCTCCATTCACACTAGTGCGACTCAAAAGTTGTGCAATTTTAAGTGCGACTTTGATGTGACTTTTAGGTGACTTTACACTCTCTGGCACTTAAGTCGCAAGCAAATCACATAAAAGTAGTGCAAGCACTTTTTCAATGTTGCTGCAACTTTAAGTCACATAGATTTGAACGGATGCCATTGAAATCAATGGGCTGCAACTTCTTATGCGGCTTTATGTGTCCAAAGTCTCAAGGCAAGTCACACTAGTGTGAACAGAGCCTTAAGATCAGTGATGAAGTACAATCTACAGTGACACAGGGCTGACAATCAGATCAGATTGCTGAAGTCAGATGAGTGAAAAATTATCATGACTGATTGCTGGAAGCTTCGGCATCTAAAATGCAACTCTAGAGAAAATATAATCAATTAATAAATTGCTACTGTGATCCAGCAATCACTGCAACTGTGCTAAAACAAGAAGGTCTACTTCATCTTTAATCTGAGATTTATGAACTCCACTGTGAGCAGATTCAGCATGGTGTTTTCTGTACTTCTGGGTGGGACCGCATCTTCTCATCATATGGATCTGTAATGTGCAACTTCCCTCTCAAGCTCAAATATGACAGCATACGGACTGTGTTGGGCTTACAGAGAGGGATCCTTAGAATCAGGGAACATATTAACCCGCATTTTTCCAGCCTCAGATTTAGGTTATTTGAGAAAACCGGATACTGAAACCAGTAGTGTATTTAGGTTTTGTGCTGCCCTAGGCAACGCAAAAACCATATGCCCACATGGACACCAACCAACACAACCCCCCCCCCCCCCCCGGCGATAGACGAACACTCATCTTCACAGCTCTGGACATCCTTGGGAGTGAGAGCTAGGCTCTACATACACCATCAAACAGGCTGCAGCCTCTCTTAGATTCCACCTGGTTCCCATGGTGCACATGTCCCTTCTTTCATCCCTTCTTCTAAAGGGAGGTGCTGCCCCCCTGAAAAATGCCGCCCTGGGCAAGTGCCTTGTTTGCCTTGTGGTAAATACACCCCTGACTGAAACTATAGGGACTTCAGCAGCAGATCAAAGATGTGCATGTCCTATGAGTCTGCCTCAACGAAAAATGTTTGTGTCTGACACTTATACCTTTGCCTTACAAATAAACTGTAGTGAATAAAGTATGTAGGCTGCTATTGCTTAACATCTTTAAAAATGTTAGTTGCTGAGCTGTTAGGATCATCCATTAGGTTCAGTACTTTTTTCAGTTACTGCCCAAGGACAAGGATGCAGCTCAGACTTCACTTGCTGCATGCGTGTTATAATCATTGACTTAGAAAGTTTTGAAGCCAGTGAGAGCCAGGCAACTAGCATCTTCAGAAGAAGGTCAGCCTCCATATTTTCTTCAGTATAGGTTTCCTATAATCAGCCTCTATGTCTATTCATGTGCAGGGGAAATGACACTACAGATTGATCTTATGGACTGGCAGGGGAAAACCAGGCAAGCCATCTATGACAGCTTCAGAATTACAAATGAAGAGGTAAGATGTGACATTGGGCTAGAGTGAGGATAAAGAAATGGATATCCGTGTGTTATCCGGATAATGAATTAAATAATGGAGGGCAAACATCAGTATATCCAACAAATCAGACATTGATCACCATAGATCAACTAAGGTTTCTCTTATGAATCTCCTATCTGCAGGATAATTACAAGCTTTGGCTAGGATATTATTCTGGGAATGCAGGAGATGCCCTAACTGGTGGGAATACTTTTGAGCACCAATGGTCTGCTTCACTCAGAGGAATGCCCTTCAGCACTCCGGACAAGGATAATGACCGCTTTATCAAAGGCAGCTGTGCCATCGAGAACAAATGTGGCTGGTGGTTTAACAGGTCAGTAAACAGTTTGCTTAAAGGGGCTTATAGAGTTTGCAATGTGAAAGCTGCCATTGCTGGTTTCTTTTTTTAAAGGTGCAGCCTTCAAAGCAGTCGTCTTCATTCTAGCATCACTAAAATTTAACAAGCATGCAGGGTGGAGTTTGGACTTTTTGGACTTCACTTGTCACTTGCCTGGCTTGGGATACCTTTTTAGGCAGAAGATGAGTTTTTGTCTTTGGGGTTTTTTGGGGGGGGTTTTTGCTACAGCTGCAGTCACATAACGTACCTGTAATGAAGTATGTCCCTTGTCCTGTAGGCAGATGGTTCATGTAGAAACCTTCTCTCCCGTGATTTTTGGTCCTCTTCACAGTGGTGAACTTCTGGTGATGCAGGAGTTTAGTGGTTCCTGATGGGTGCTTCCCCTTTCTGCCCTATCCTTCATCAACAAAAGTTCATAGAATGTAACATGTTCACTGAATGAGAAGAGAAGAATGATTGACAGGATCCTCTCCTCCATCCATGAGAATATGTTGTATTCTTTGAAAACAATGCAAGGACTTTTGTCAGTAGCGGAGGGGTCAGAAAAGGGCAGGTTCTCATCAGGACCTTCTTCAGTATAAATCAGCGCTATTAAACCTCAAAACTCCAGAAATGTAGCTCTGTGAAGAGGGCCAAGCATCACTAGAGAGAAGGTTTCTATAGGAACCATCAGCCTGCAGGATGTTTGACGTACTTCATCTTCATTACAGGTAAATTATGTGACTGCAGCTGTAATAATAAAAAATTAACTAAACTTCAGCTTTTATAGGGAAACTGCAGTACATATGAAACTAATTGCTCTCCAGCAAAGCACCTTATACAATTAAGTGTGCTCAAAACTTTTAGTAGGTTAATATTTTTCATGCTACACCCAGATGTTGGTTGTCTAAAATGACCTTTTTTTATAATTCGAATATGAATTGGCACCTTACCTTCTAAATGCAACGCTGAAAAATCTTTTTCTTCCAAACACTGCCTTGCACAAAATACTTGAGGAAAGTGAAAAAATAGCACTGGGTCCATAGGTTTACTTTACTGGTATTTTTATCTCAGGGTATTAATGTTAGGGTAAATGATCTGGTTCCTGGGCAGGCGGCTTCTACACCCCAGAAGATCTCCACAGTCTCCTTGGCTTGTAGTGTGAAGTAAAAATAGTTGAAATTGAAGCACCACACCACTGCCAAGAAATCCAGATACAACTTTATTCCATTGAAGGACGGGGGTACAATACAAAAAGTTGCCAATGTGTTTCAGGGGTCTAAGAGCCACTTTCCGCATCTTCATCAGCTAAGAGGTCCGGATACAACTTTACTCCATTAAAGGTCAGGGGTACAATACAAAAAGTAGCCAACGTGTTCGGGGGTCTAAGTGCCCCCTTCATCAGGGCTTGATTGATTAACAAAGTAAACAAACAAGACATTAACTGGACTTACAATGGTATTTTTTCCAATGTGAATTAATAGCACAGGCATAATCAGCAGCTTGTCATGTTGCCAAACAAGCCACTGATTAGGCCTGTGCATGTAATTCACACTGGAAAAAATACCATTGTAAGTCCAGTTAACTTCTGGTTTCTTTACTTTGTTACCAATCAAGCCCTGATGAAGGGGGCACTCAAACCCCAAAACACGTTGGCTACTTTTTGTATTGTACACCTGACCTTTAACCTCCCTAGTGGTCTGATTATGTCCATATTTCTGTGATCAAAGCAGTACTTTTTTTGCATGGAAATATGTATTTTTTTATTGTAGGCCTCTAATTTTTAAGAATAACTCACTGAAATCTGTCCAAACAAGTGTCTAATAAACATCCCGGGTATGTTAAAATTTGAAACACGAAATCATAAATTATAATTTAATAAATAACCATAAAAAATAATAATATAATAATAAATTGAATTCAATAATATAATCAAACCAAAAACACTGAAATATGAAATATAGCGCCAAGTTCGCACATCACTGAGCAAAGTCGCAAAATCGTTTTCAGTGTCTGATGACGAATTTCCCCACGAATCATTATCACTCAATTCTGCAAGTGGTTCTAGTTTACTATCGCTGTTCTCTAGCTGATCTAGAACCGCTTTTGACCTAAAGGGATGCTTTTTGGACGCCATGGACATTTCTCAGTTTCCAGGCAGAAAAAACAGTAAAAATGCAGGCAGGGCACAGGACAAAGCACTAGGGACAAAATGTATGTGAAATGGTTTGATACAGTAATGTTTTACTATGTAATTTTAGTGAATTTAGTGAATGTCACTTTTACAATTTTCAAATTTCCTGCCATTCCATCCCCCGTACGTCCTGACGTTGCAGGGAACGGAACCCAGAAGACGGATGCCAGCATCCGCCGGAGGACATTGCCGGGGACACTGCAGGAGGGACCATCGCGGGAGCGCAGGACAAGGTAGGTGCAGAAGAGATCTCGGAGCAACGCTGCAGGGTATTCCCGAGTATAGCTCAGGGTTACCGCTTGTGGTGCTGAAACTTTACCCCGAGATACACTCAGGAATACCACCAGGGAGGTTACTGGAATAAAGTTGTATCTGGACCTCTTAGCAGTGGTGTGGCGCTTCAATTTCAACTTTTATTGCATAACATTCTGTACCTTTTATTAGGCATTCATTTGTAATCAAATTCTAACACTAGTGAGAGCAAGGTATTATAGGTCCCTTGCAATATCATATATATATATATATATAGAGCCAACATACATATATACTGTTCTAACATACTAAATTAAGTATACGATAGCAATGAACAGAGGTGCATACTGTAGTTAAAATTAATAATAGCATGAAATCCTGTTAAAATTTGCAACCTGCACTATTTACATCCTGGTTGCGTACATCTGACCAACAAACACTGACAAATTCACTCATTCTTCCTGCAGTTTTATCACTAAGCACTGTGCTAAATGTTCACTAAAAGACCATATTTTCAACAAAACATGGCAGCTCTCTTCTTTTTTCTGTATGTCCCAGTGTTGTCATACAGAGCAGCAATGAGAATGGCAAACTGTTACCTGTTCATGCAGGTCTGTGAGTCTGCCTGTTAATCAGGTTGGTGCTGTTCACTAACACACAGCCAGTAATATATTAGTGGCAATGTTCCAAAGGTGCCAATCTGCACTTTATGGCATATTGTAAAATACATGCAGAACTACCCATAACTATTTGACTTGTAAAAATAATATTATATATATTTGCAGGTGCCATGTGGCCAATTTAAATGGTGTGTATTATAGAAAAGGAAACTATACCGGAACATATGACAACGGCATTGTATGGTCCACCTGGCATGGCTTATGGTACTCCTTAAAGTTTACGGCTATGAAGATAAGAAGTCCATCGTTCCTCAGTGCTGGGAGTGGGGATGGACTCAGTGGTTAAGAACTTGCGCTTCTGGATGATACAAACATACAAATGAGGCCAGAGCAAGGACAAAGAACTCACCAACAGATAACTTTAAATATGGCCTCAATACAAAATCAATAGAGACTTGAATCATCAGCTTCCATGGAACTTTGCAACCTTTATTTGGTAGGGTTCTGAAGTTTAGTGATTTGTTTTTTAAAATCCGTACCAGGGTTGGCACATGAATGATGAGTGTCCCATGTGCTCTGTTCCTTGAAATCTTCATTCCTCTGCCCCCTGGATACCCCCGCAGCTGTGATCTTCCACGGATGCTGGGGTTAATGTAAGCAACCCCACCTGTCACAGGCACTTGTCCAGAGTGCCAACTATGCACGCCCTTTCCACCCCCTCTTCCATTCCTAGAAGTTGCACTATCAGTTTCTGCAATGAAAAGCCCCAGTCCCACGCTTATTCTTACCTGAGCTTGATCTGATCCGATCCAGCGATGTGCACAAGAGCAGTGACTCTAGCCGCTGTCTCCCTCCTCATTTGGCAAATTGATGGCTCTCACTGCTTCCAGTCAAATGATGTGGCGGGGTGGGGCCAAGCTTCCTGGTCTGTGTCAATAGATACAGACAGGGATGCTTAGGACCGAGCCTGCACATGTGCCCCCATGGAAAGTGGTTTTCCATGGGGGCACCCGCCGAAGAGAAGGGGCCTGAAGCACCAGCAGGGGACCCCAGAAGAGGAGGATTAAGACAGAAAAAGGAATGTAGATTTAAGATTTCAAGGAACGGAGCATACAAGACACTCATCATTTTTGTATGTACCATCCCTGCTGCTGATTTAAAATAAATAAATAATTCACTAAACGTCAGCTTTCAGTGTTGAATCCACTTTGCTTAAATCAAACCAGTTCAAGATGAATTCTGATTTCTGTGAATTACTGAACATAAGAATTAGCACTTTGAATTGAATAAGGCTGTAAATGCTTCATATCGAACTGGCAAGAATGGCTGAACAGACCACTAATCAGATGTTCAGTCAATGTATAAGAAATGAAATTATTTTATATAGATTCATATTAGCCAGTGTATATATTCATTACTTTACAGTACATTAGGGTTAGTAGGTCCCTTATTGCTCACAAGTATCACAGCAGTTGTACAATCTGCTATGGCTGTACTTCTACAATAGAATATTTGATAATTATATATAGTTGACACAATGTATAGAGAAAATCTCCAATACACTTAAAATTACATCAATACACCACTCACACAAAAATCTTTGGTAATCAAGTTACTTGTACACCTCCTGCAGGTTGCCCTCAGAGCGAACTGTCTTCCATCTGATCTGACAAAGATTCAGTCAATTAAACAAGATACAGATGACAGTATAAATACTGATGACTCCAAAATGTAAATGATGATTAATAAAAATGTAATGCAGACACCTGTTTTCGGTGAGGTTCTAAATATTCTCCTACTTTATCTGAAAAGGGGTCTGATTTTGTAATCTTCTCTTACACAGCACTTTTTGAAAGGATCCATCTTTTATTTGAACAACTGACAATAAGCATGATTACATTATATTAAAATTGTAAAAAGTTGCAAAAATATTAATCAATAATATTAATAATTCAAATATGAATTACACAATAATGTACATACATATAGAATCTTTAAAGGCAAGGTAAATCTGGCAATCCAAACACTGCTATGGTTGTGTGTTGCTCCAGGGATATATTCATTAAATGACCAGGTTACCGGAGGAAAGATGAATTCATCACATTAATAGAATGACTACAAATTAAACAAACCCCAATAACATAAATAATAAGCTAAGAATAGCTTAAATGAAAATAAAGTCTGCATTTTGGTTCTTATGCTGGCTATACACATTACAACATGGTTTCTCATTCTTTGGATATACCAATAAGCATGGAGTTAAAGAACCCACTTGACTGGATGAAAATGTAATAAATTGTTTAAAGTAATACTGTCAAATAAAAACAATTTCCTTTATTGTCTATTGGGGGACACAGTAATTTTTAGAAATCTTAGATTGTCGGGTTATATTTGGCAGAATTCTGAGAATTCCTGTGTCCTTCAGTGGACTCCAAGTGTACAGTAAGTATAAAAATCCTATTTTTTTATAGGTCCATTAAGAAACAAAGGACGTCTGAGAATTCTTAGGATGTAAAGTTATATGAGGTGGTATCAAAAAGTTTCGAGACTAGTTTTGTAACACGCCAACAGATGGCAGCACAAGGCTGCACGCACTGTCACAGGGAGCACTGACCTTCATAAGTCAGTGTGCCAAAAGACATTGTCCTGTGTACATCGGAAGATGTGCAACTGGTGCTTTCTGACCACTTGCGTTACTGCGCCTGCTACTTCATAATGGACAGCAAGTTATAACAAAGAATGTAAAATTCTGCATAAAACTGGGTAAATCATTGGATCTCCACATTGTTGTTAAAATGGCAATCTTTGAGCTGGATCTTCATCTACGGGAGGAGGGCATTTTTGGAGGTTGAGCTCGTGGAAGGTCTTCCTGATCTCTCGTTGCCTTCCAGTGATGTAATTCCTCTCTTGAAGTGCACATGCCACTCAAAAACACCTTGAACGACTCATTGTAGCATCGCCGTAAATTTGCTGAATCATGTCAAATGTTTTTGTGGCAGATTTGCACTTTGTTCTAACGTGCTGTCCATGTTGAAATAGCAGACATGTTAATGCACATAGCCACAATAGCACCAGTTGCACGGTTCCTGGTGTACACAGGACAATTGTCTTTAGGCATACTGTCTTATGAAGGTCAGTGCTCCATGTGACTGTGCATACAGCCTTGTGCTTCTATCTCATGGCATGGGCAGCATAGTGGCTAAATGGTTAGCACTTCCGCCTGGCAGTACTAGGGTCGTTGGTTCAAATCCCAGCCATGGCACCGCCTGCCTGGAGTTTGCATGTTCTCCCTGTGCCTGCGTGGGTTTCCTCTGGGTGCTCCGGTTTCCTCCCACACTCCAAAGACATGCTGCTAGGCTAATTGGCTCCTGTCTAAATTGTCCCTAGTATGTATGTGTATGTATGAATGTATGTTAGGGACTTAGATTGTACACCCCTGGAGGGTTAGGGACTGATGTGAATGTACAATATATATGTAAAGCGCTGTGTAAATTAACGGCTCTATACAAGTACCTGAAATAAATAATAAATGTTACAAAACTATTCTTGAAACCTTTTGATACCACCTTGTACTACCCCCCTATGGAAGGCAGAATAACCTGATGTTTAAGGGTTCCAGTAAAGACTGAGATTGAGCTCTGCAGTCACTTTTGCAGTTGTTTTCTTATTCCGGGTCACAATCCTGCGCAATGTCCTTCTGTCTCATTTGGTCAGCTGACAATGTTGACCATGCTTATGCTTATCAGACGTTTTCCCAGAAACTGTATATGCCGTCATAATCTTTGATACTGTGCCTTGCGACACAGCAAATAAATTGCCAATTTCAGTCACAGAAGCACCAGCCAAGCGGGCACCAACAATCTACCCTCTTTGATGCTCATTAAGTTCTGACATGACTCCATATTTCTAGCAGCACATGCAGTGAATGATGAAAGTGAGGCTTCCCACCTGTTAGCTAGGTGTCTCATCACACAGCAGAGGCAAAACATCACTTCCGCTTTCAATGCGAAACATGTCACTTTCACACCTGCCAATTTTTCTGTCTAACCCCCTTGTATATGCACAGCAAGCAGACGACAGGGCCTCGGACTATGGAAAATGATTATACATTCTTTTGGTTGCACTGATCACAACTGGTTATTTGGGTTACTGCACAGCATTACTTTTTGAGGTTGTATTTTAGTAATCAGCATTTGTTATGCTTACTCTGAACTGGGCTAGAGAAGATGCATGGGTAATTGCATAGAATTGCACAGAATATGCAAAAAGGAAATAAAGGCGGCAACATTTGAAAATGAACGACAGATTGCAAAAGATAGCAGGACCAAAACCCAAAAAATTCTTCAAATATATTAATAGTAAAAAGGTCCAGTCCGAGCGTGTAGGCCCTTTACATAATAATCTATAGTGGGTGATTGGGGACAAAGAGAAGGCAAATTTATTAAATACCTTCTTCAGCTCTGTGTATACAAAGGAGCATGGGGGAGCTCTTGTCCATAATGGGCATGGTATTGACACAGCTCCAGATGATCCACATTGGCTCTCAATTGATATGATCCAAAAATATTTAGACAGTATAAAGGAGAATAAAGCACCTGGACCGGATGGTATACACCCACGGGTCCTTAAATAATTGAACTCTGTCAATTCAAAGCCATTTTTAGGGACTGTTTAATGACTGGCATAGTACCACTGGAATGGTGTAATGCCAATGTGGTGCCAATATTTAAAAAAGGGTCAAAATCTTTACCAAGTAAATATAGACCTGTTAGTTTAACTTCTATGGTTGGGAAGATACTGGAGAGAGAGATACTGTACTTGCTGGAAAAAAATATTTAAGCAATAGACAGCATGGATTCATGAAAGACAGAAGTTGTCAAACAAATCTGATTTCTTTTTATGAGGTGAGCAAATCCTTGGACAGAAGGGTGGTGGTGGACGTGGTATACCAGGATTTTGCAAAAGCGTTTGACACAGTTCCCCATACATGGCTAATGTGTAAGGTATAGTCTACAGGCTTGGAAAAATCTGTATGTAAATGGATAGAAAACTGGCTAAAAGATCGTATTCAGAGAGTAGTGGTTAATAATTCATACTCTGAATGGTCTAGGGTGGTCAGTGGTGTACCCCAAGGTTCAGTGTTGGGACCCTTACTTTTTTAATATATTTATAAATGATATAGGGTCTGAAATTAAAATTCCCATTTCAGTCTTTGCAGATGACACCAAGCTGTGCAGTGGAATAACGTCCTTACAGGATGTCTCCAACTTACAAGCCGACCTCAATGCTCTGTGTAATTGGGCAACTATGTGGTAAATGAGGTTTAATGTTGATAAATGTAAGGTT